GAGTAAAACCCTGTGGTGGAATCGCAGATCAAGCGGGAAATTGCAACGATGAAGTTGATTAAGCATCCCAATGTTGTCTGCATACACGAGGTATCTCAAGAAATCACCATTTCTATCTTGTTTTCGATGCTCAGGTTAATCCTGTAATATTGTTCAGAAAAGTGCATCATGTCTGGGGTCCATGCCACAATACTACTCAAAGCCAGCTGCCTCTTTCCAATCATGCACCTCAACCATAAAGCTGTTGTCACAAATATTGGGCGCAATTATTTGACACGTCTGTTTTAATCTCATCAGGGGAAACTGCTAATATTATTATCAAATTAATTGATCTTCTCTTCAATTTTCCAGGTGATGGGAAGCAAAACCAAGATCTACATTGTTCTGGAATACGTCACCGGCGGCGAGCTCTTTGACACAATTGTAAGTCATGTGCTACAACCTATGTTTCCTGCTTATGCGCTGATGCGGCTTGCTTATCTTCAGCACACACAGGATTACAGCATACCGTTGTTAGTTATGTGCTGACGGTTATCGCGTCCCTTGTCGTAAAGGTTAACCATGGCAGAATGAGGGAAGATGAGGCAAGGAGATACTTCCAACAGTTGATTAATGCGGTTGATTATTGCCATAGCAGGGGGGTGTACCACCGTGATTTAAAAGTGAGCTCCTCTCCATCTCTGCTGCCTGTTTGTCCTGTCAATGCCAAATGTACTCACATAATCTATCTAAACCAAACTACTTGCAGCCAGAAAATCTATTACTTGATTCATGTGGAAATCTGAAGGTGTCTGATTTTGGGCTGAGCGCGCTATCTCAGCAGCTCAAGGTACGGGTTTATTATATAGCTTCATGCACTCCTAAGTTATCATGGAAGTTTTCAGAGTTCACACTTTTCTGTATTAACAGATAATCATGTTCCTTTGATGTTCAAACACTCCCACATATTCATTCTTCCGATATATTTTGGAATATTTAATTATCTATTGTTGTTCAGGATGATGGATTACTGCACACGACCTGCGGCACTCCAAATTATGTTGCACCGGAGGTAATTTCAGAAATTTGTAGAACCTGAACCGCCAATAGTTCTTGACATTAATTTCTAACCAAGTACCACTAGTAATATTTAAAATATTGCAACTACCTACAGGTCCTCGAAGATCAAGGCTATGATGGCGCAATGGCAGATTTGTGGTCATGTGGAGTAATTCTGTTTGTTCTGCTAGCAGGGTATTTGCCTTTTGAGGACTCTAATCTTATGGCCTTGTATAAGAAAGTGAGCGTTGTACTTCTTTTGGTTTACTGTTACGATCTTGCTTGTTCATGCTGATTTGATTTTTCTCTGTTATTCCTTGCAGATATCAGATGCAGAGTTTACGTTTCCGCCTTGGACGTCTTTTCCTGCCAAGAGGTTGTTAACAAGAATCCTTGATCCAAATCCGATGACGGTATGGTAGAACACAAGAGCTCATTGAACCAATACTTTAGATAGGAAAATCTCCTCGCGCAATGCATCCAGTAGGGTTGTAGATAACATGCTGTCAGTTCCATTGATCAGCCTATCAATATTCCAAGTTCTTTTGTGCTTACTAATAAACACACCAGAGATGGTGTTCAATCAGGGGCTAATAATCCCACATCTTGCTCCATAATATCAAGCTAATGTCTTGACAAATTGTGGCAGAGAATAACAGTTCAAGAAATGTTAGAGGATGAGTGGTTCAAGAAAGGTTACAAGCGTGCGGAGTTTGATGAGAAGTATGACACAACACTGGACGATGTGGATGCTGTCTTCAATGATTCAGAAGTAAGCCCATGGCTATATGCAAGCTCTTGCATTTCTGTTTCTACCAAATGCAGAAGATCTCTCGTGGGTTCGGTATTACTAACCAGTTTTATAACTCTGGTTTGACTTCCTTCAGGAGCACCATGTAACAGAAAAGAAAGAAGAAGAACCAGTAGCTCTGAATGCATTTGAACTGATTTCAATGTCAGCAGGCCTTAATCTTGGAAATTTATTCGACTCTGAGCAAGTAAGACAACATCCTAATAACAACGTAAAATTTAGGAAATTGCGATGCGCGATGACTTAACTCACGATGGTTTTATAGTATTGCTGATATAGCCCAAATCATGTCTGAAATATGCACTTGATTTCGATATCTCAGTTACATTGAATGATGAAAGCCAGCAGTTAAATTTATATGCCTATGTAAATATAAGATCTTCAGACCCTTTCTTTTTCACTTAGAGCTTTATGCACATTTTCTGTTACGCATTTATGATTTCGAAACTTCATTCTTCTATACTCTAACATCGAATAACTATATCGACAGGAATTTAAAAGAGAAACAAGGTTTACATCTAAAAGCTCGCCTAAAGAAATTCTCCGCAAGATCGAAGAAGCTGCAAAGCCTCTAGGATTTGATATTCACAAGAAAAATTACAAGGTCTGCCACGCAAAGCTTGGTTTAATAGCTGTCCACACGATTATTTTCCTTAAAAGATGTATTGATATTGTATATGAGCTTTAAGTATATATTTTCCCCTTGTTTGTTTGATCAGCTGAGACTAGAGAAGGTAAAAGCAGGAAGGAAGGGGAAACTCAATGTTGCTACCGAGGTAATACGGAGAATATGCTGAACTGAATCCACTTACAAGTTAACTTCTTCAGTCTAACTTTATCTGTGCAATATCATTTAGATACTGCGAGTCGGGCCTTCTCTTCATATGGTTGAAGTTCGCAAAGCAAAAGGCGACACTCTAGAATTTCACAAGGTAAATTATCATGCAATTATGATTTGGAAGTGGAGTCTGTCAACTGAGAGGTGCACCAATTCCTGCTTCTCTGACCTCAGTAATCTGGACTCGACGGGTTACCGGGATTGTAAATTGCGGTTGATCCTTTTTCGCCTTTCCCTCGCCAATTTGTACTGAAATACATAAACCTTAATATTGTGGTGCAGTTCTACAAGAACCTTTCAAACACCTTGAAGGACGTTGTATGGAAATCCGACGATCTTCAGATCCAACCTTCCTAGCAGCAGCTTGGGAGAAGGGGGGATGGGTAAACTATTAGCATCCCATTCTTCCTGAGTTGATCCATTCTCAGGAGCTGGATCAAGATAAATTGTTCACCGCATTTTGTAAGTACAGGTGGATAGCCCTGTAGTCAGCCGTGCCTGTCCTCCACTGGTGTTGTATATGCTGCATTTTGAGAGACTTGTTGGAACAGTTTAAGTCAAGCACATTCAAGTAGGTTTTGCTGTATATTAGGCATGTGGGTTTTCACAAGCCGTATCAAGTTCACTTTGGAACAACAATGCAATCAGGAACTCGCAAACATTTAGCCGAATATGCTTGTAAACTCACATCGGCCGGTCATCATTTCGTTCCCATTGTAAATTGTGAGACCATGAAGTTAATTTCTTGTTTTTGCCTTGTTACGTACACTTGTTCCTTCAGCTGTAAATCAGAACTGAAGGGTCAAACAGAAAACCTGAATTTTCAGAGGATGATACATGAGGGGATGCAGCTTCCTCGTTTGTCCTTGTCCTTGTTTCCTTGGTCCGGCGGGGGATCGGCATCGCCGCCGCTCTTCTCTGGTACCATCTCACGACTGTTTTGCTGTGACTTCCGCCGTCTGCCATTTGCACATGACACGAGCAACATGCACTGTGAGATTGAAACACATACCATTCTAGCACAGTAGTACTCCCTCCGTCTGGAAATACTTGTCATCAAAATGGATGAAAATGGATGTATCTAAAACTAAAATACATCTAGATACATCCATTTCAATGACAAGTATTTCCGGACGGAGGGAGTATCATATATTGATTGGGTTCATGCTCATCGTGGTTTCGGTGCCTTTTCAAAAAAAAAAATCGTGATTTCGGTTAAAGATGCTGCCTTGCAAGTTGCAAGTGCAAAAGATGGGAGAAAGATGAAGAAGGTTTTGCCTATGAAGACTAGTTAACGCAAGTTGCATGGTGGAGTGTACCCTCGTTTAATACTCCGGCCGATCTCCATGATCCGGAAGGCCAGAAGGTAGCGGCAGACCCGGAGTCCATTCTTGAAGAGCGGCGGCGCCGATGGTTTTGATCCCGTCGTGTCCATCCTGCAGATTGATTGATTCATTCATTGAATTAGGCCGGGAAAAAATTGAAGAACATCTCATTGCAGATTTGCCGTGAGAAGATGAGACGGAATGGCACTGACTTGGCCATCATGACCCTGGCGAACTCGGAGTAGTTGATCTGCCCGTCGCCGTCGAGGTCGGCCTCGCGGAGCATCTCCTTGAGCTCTTCGTCGGAGAGGCGCTCGCCGAGTTTGACCATGACGTGCCGGAACTCGTCGAGCGAGATGAAGCCGTCCTTGTCCTGGTCGAAGACGTGGAAGGCCTCGCGGAGCTCGTCCTCGGCGCCGGCGCCGTGCATCTTGCGGTCGAGGAGGGTCAGGAACTCGGAGAAATCCACGACGCCGTTGCCGTCGGTGTCCACCTCCGCGATCATCTCCCGCAGCTCCTCCTCCGACGGGCGCTGCCCCAGCGACCGCATCACCGTGCCCAGCTCCTTGGCCGTGATCGTCCCTGTAGGTTTTCGCGCGCGGAATCAAATCTCGAACCGGATTGTTGCGTGCGTGCCAATGGCGGTCAAATCGAATCGAGCGATGCGTGCCAATGGCGATCGAATGGAGTAAGAAGGAATCACCGTCGCCATCCTTGTCGAAGAGGCTGAAGGCCGCCCGGAACTCGTCGATCTGCTCCTTGGACAGCTCATCCATTCATTCAGCTTAACCCAGAATTTTTTACGGGGCGGAGATGGATGAACTCGTGCGGCGATTTGCCGCCAAATCTCCCGCCTCGTAATCCGCGCGCTGTTCTTGGTTGTTGCGTTGGCGAGGATAAAGGAAGGACGCGCTTGGAAAGGTTGCTCTGCCCAGATGCCTTTCATCGATCGGAAGGCCGACATGAAATCCGGTGCATCCAGGTGCAGGGACTGTATATTTGTACGACGTCTTATAAAACGGCCGAAATGTTTCAAAACCAAGAAACAGGCTTTGGTCCAACTAAGAAAATCCTCGTACAACCACCCGGCCGGTCAAAATAAAAATAAACCGGTGTTCAAGCAAGTGACATAAGGGCATGGCCAATGCGCTGCCTCAAGGGTGATGCCACATGTGCCAACTCGGCTCGGATGATGCGTTGGCATAAAAGTTATAGCCTCAAAACCAAAGTGGGATCCTGCAGAGGAGGCTGCATCCCCGGCTGAAAAAGGTAAGAGAGAGAAGGATTTCTCACAGGAAGGGGAGGTGGCATGTAAGGGTAGTGTTATATTGCTCGGTAGTATTGTGGCGATTACAAGCAGAGTACACGAATTTGGGGAGAGGAACGGGAGAGAAAGATGAACTAGGGTTCGTGCCGCCGCCGGTTTCGTGATCCACTGGATGCCCGGGTCTTCGCTCGGGGTGGCTTAAGTACAGCGGTTGCTGGGCTCACTTTGTCCACTGTGGGCCGGTGACGAGCGAGGTGGGCTTCTTCGTCCTGGCGGGCCTTTGGGCAGCGGCTGGGTCGCTGCCGGTTGGGGCCTCCTTGTCATGTGCCTGGCTGGAGCTAGGGACGCTGACATGGCAGGTGCTGGAAGAGAGGGTAAAGACAAAAGGAGCAAAATATGATGATATCACAGGGAGTAGCTTGCATTAGATGAGTGTGGTACAAACCAATAGCTTCATTTAACTTTAACTATATGGATAACTTGAAACCACACCATTCTAGTGCTACCATTGCTCATGCCCTAAGTGGTACTCCCTCCGTCCGGAAATACTTGTCCAAGGAATGAATGTATCTAGATGTATTTTAGTTCTAGATACACCTATTTGTATCCATTTCTATGACAAGTATTTCCGGACGGAGGGAGTACTAACCCAACATCGAGCGTCACACATAACATGACACAAACAAAACTACCGAACATAACCGAAACCGCGCAGCCTTGAGAAACCACCTCACACCGCAGTATCGAACACACCAAGCCATCTCTCGAGTCTGGAGGAGGACAAGTCACACCGTTGAAATTGTCCCCTCGCGCCAAACCGTGGAGAGTCGCTCCTGCCAGGAGATAGCAAGGACATAAAATACAAGAGATCATCAGGGCCACCCTGTGACAGAGTCGAGGACGCTATACGCCAGGAAGGCATGCTTGAAGCCGTTGGATAGCTGCAACCAAAAGGGACTGGGGCTCCACGACAACGCCTCAATAGGGTGAGGACGCTAAGCGCTAACACATTCATCCTCCATGTTGTAGTACAAATCCATCGTGTCTACTTCAAAGTCAAGAACGACAGCGTCAAAATATTCTACTATGGTGTTTTGACCAAGCAATTGCAGGACATGGTTTTTGGCCTAACACCATGAGTGGGGCTTTTGAGTGTGTCAAGGGTGTCATGGGGCTTTTGTGTGTGTCGGGTGTGGAGTCTAACATGGCAGACGTCCAGACTCCCCCAAACCCTCCCCCACTTTGGTTCTGATTTATGGAATTTTGCACGTCCAAACCAGTCGGAACAATTGCTGGCTATTTGGAGTTGCCCTAACAAGGCTCAAATATGAGCTAAATTCTTCGGCGTCAAAAGTAGAGCATCTGGATCAGGTAATTTGGTGAGTATCATCCAGGATGACTAATTGTCCACTATCTATTACATGAAACTGAGATGGTTGAGAAACATAAAATACATGATACTGAAAACAGATAGATACTCGCAGTATTGCTCTTAGCCTAGGAGGATATTCAGATATTTCAAAAGCCTTGAATTAGCCAAGTGGCGCTAAACTAGGTTTGTCGGCCCCAGCTATGGTTGTGTCTATGTTGCTGGGCATCAGCACGTTGAAGCCATCGGCTGCCGTCGACACGATCATTCCAGGTATCTGTGGGTGCCAGTGCAATTCTTTCAAATCTTTCTGGCCCTGCACATTCACAAAATCATCACATGTCTACTTGCTTCTTTACAGCTGGTTACAGATGTTGCTTTGGCCGCGACACATGCAAAACAACAGAAATTGAAGCCATCTTCAGGGGAAATTTGATCAAGTACCTGGTGAACAAAGAGAAGTTGTGGGGGCAAATCTTCGGGAGCATTTGCCTGCTCTTTCATCTTTGCTCTGAATTCAGCTTCCTCTTCTGCATCTTTTTCCAATGAAAGATCCCAAATTCTGAAGACAAACAATCCAGCATGTTACAGCAAGAGAATTCAAAATGTCGTAGGATAGCAGCACTTAAACAAAAAAAAAATTAATGGGAGGGACAGGTACGTGAGTTGATGATCAGCAGATGATACAGCCAAAGTTGATGCTTCATGTGGACTCCATTCCACAGATGTAATCGGGTGCTTGTGGTACTCGAAATGCGCTACCACTGCGCCATCATCCTGCCAATACACAGAAAGCACAGTGAACAGAGAGTTGACGTGAATATAAGAAAAGCAACATACTGATTGTGCATAATTATAAGAAAAGAAACAATAGTTCATATCATACATAGGAAAATATATTTTAAACAAAATTGGCAAAGCAACATACTGATTGTGGTAGTGTAACTGCAGTGATGTTGGCAGAAGTGTGCACTATATATACTACCAGCTTAACAAAATAACATGTAACAGCACATACTCCCTCCGTCCCATAATGTAAGACATTTTTCGACATGTCAAAAAATGTCTTTACATTATGGGACGGAGGGAGTATCAAATTAACAATTCTACTAGCAATAACATGCCAAATTTTCATCAACAGAAGTCTTATTCGTCTTGTATTATCTTCAAAATACCCGTTCACTTGATACTTTTCTTTCTCAATATAGAGTACATAGGCAGGCAAACAGAAGCCTAAAGTACAAATCAGAAAAACACAAACCAGAGGAAAACACCCCTTTGAAGTGGGTAGTATGCAACTGACGAGCATAGAAAAATGTACTTTGTCAAGACGAAAGTACCTTTATAAATCTAAGATCACGAATTGAGAAACTGCCATCATCACATCCTGAAGCTATCATACAGCTAGCTAGCCTGATAATGGAGGTCACAACATAAATACAACGGTATACAGAAGAAATAGTAGTGCTCATGAATAAAAAAACCTAGTAAATATACCGATTCCAGGAGATAACGTTAACATCAGCATTGTGAGCCTTAATAGACATACAGGGTTTCTTCTCTGTCCTAACATCCCAAATACATATCTTTCCATCCACTGAACAAGAGGCAAATACGTCGCCTTCTGTGGGACTCCACTGCAAGAATATAATCAAATAATTTTTAGATAATCAACATATCCAGAGGACATAGGAGTAGATATATGATACATCATTCAGTGGCATGCCTGTAGATCTTCAACGCTTGCGGAGTGTCCAACAAATGGTTTTGTATCTACGTCCCAAGTGCTCGAAGATGGTTCCCAGAGATGAATGCAACTGTTGCAATCACCTGTGTGGAAAAAACATTAAACTGGTCTAAGCCAATGAATGTATACCAAATTAAATGAAAACGCTGATCTATGAATACATGACAGAGAGATCACGAGAGAACATATCTGAGATAAAGCATTGTAACATGTAATAGATCTATTACATACCAGAAACAAGTCTTCCAGTAACAAGTGGACTCCAATCAATTGCATATCCTTCATCTTTATGGCCATTGAATATTTTCAAAGGTACATGACTATGGATTATGTCATCTTCTTTGTGTGCAACTGGCCCTGAATCTGCTACTGAGTTAAGGAAGGATTTGAAGTCCCAAACCTGCATATTACACACAAAGTAGTCGGTTCAATACATTATGTTCCTTACAAGTTCCTAAGAACGAAATATGATATGTAAATGATGGAATTGGGGTGTGGAGCCCTTTATTCCTAACAAATATTATGCACAGATTATTCTATCTGTTCCTGGGAAGATGCGGCAGAGATTAACCAAATGTTGAGTGGGCCAGCCACGGGAGTAAATAAAGAGAAATGAGAGCCAAAAAGAATTACCTGAACATGACCTGTGTCTCCCCATGTAGCACATATGTGTGGTTGTTGAGTCATTGAGCGTATCCTGTTTACACACCCAGCATGGGCCACCTTTTTTAGCTGGTACATACAAAATTGACCTATTAGCAACAGAAGGTTTGTACCAATGCAGCAGAAGTGTGAAATAATTGATGTCAACGAAAAATATGAAGTTGTGCATTTAGAGAAAAAACATACATGTAGGATGGGCTTTATATCCTCATTAGTTTCCTCCTCTTCTTCTTCATCACTGCTGCTGTCACTATCCATATCACTGTCAGCATCAACTTTTGAAGATGGTATAGGTTCCCGCTTCTTCCCGTTTATGTTGGAAAGCTTGAATACGCCAATATAATTCCATGGAGCCTTTTCAGCCTGTAAAGGATGAAGCACAGCCCTTAACTTAGATAGATGAACTGTGTGGAAACGCATTTGTTGGAAACGTATAAATGAAACATACTACCTCCATTCCTAAATATAAGACATTTGGGAAACCTTTGGCAATTCAGCTAGTAAATGGTAAACAAGTATCAAAACTTTCTTTCATGCACTAATTACTTGAGATTCCACCAATATAAACATTATTTCTTGGAGCACAAAAATCCCCATTAGCTGAGTCTCATTCTTAAAGCTTAACAATACCCAGACGAGCTCGGTTGCAAGCAATCATAGCTTGGCCGAGCCTTACATATAGTAGCTGTAATAACACCAATAACAATGAAACACGCACCAAAGCAATAATCATGCTATAAGGGCCAGTTCTTTTAGGCGATTCTCCGAGAATCGCCCCCCTCCCTAGCTTCTCCCAGAATCGCCACTATATATATTTTTTACAATCCTATCTAGTTAAGGTCTAATTAGCTAGGATTGTAAAAAAAATATGAAGTGACGATTCTGAGAGAAGCTGGGGAGGGGGACGATTCTGGGAGAATCGCCTAAAAGAACTGGCCCTAAATGGGAGCAAGCACCCGCACTAAATTTCTGACATGGTTCATCTGTACTAATAAACATTAGCAATTGTATATGAAGTTCCATCTAAAATAGCAGAATACGAAACTGATGCAGACCGGTAAATACCCTAGCACATTCTGGAGAAGTATACATGAATAGGCACCAGCAATCCAGCAGTTAAACAAGATAATGAAATATGCCCTTACAAATACATTTGAGACGATCAAACTCATCCCTATGTGGCAGAACAGAAATGAATTGCAATCTCAGGTTTGCTGGTAAGACAAAGCATGAAGTAGTCCTTTCTGTGTAAATTTTAAAAAGGGTAAAGAGAGAACGCAACCTGAGTTCCAGCAACGCCATATAATGTGTGTGGGAACTCTGATCGGACAAGCCCAAGTTGATCTTGCACAACATCAAAGCTGCAAAGCAAAGTGAAACCCGTTGAGAAGAGAGAATTTCCTAGTCTGAAATTACAACACGAACAATGCCTCCCTGCGGATAAGGAGAATATAGCTTCACCTCAAGCAAGGCCAGCCAATACTAAATCCTCGGAGATAGTTGTAAGCCTCGGGATCAAACTGGAGCTCCTCTCCCTCCTCCAGTGCATCTACGCCTGGTTGCCACACCTAACAACAAAACCCACCATTTACATATGTAATTCCACATACACAGTTTTCAGCATCATCCTTAGCATGAGAACAGAAAGAAAACAATTTAATCATAGGAGTAACTCGTCCAGGCAGGCATCTATACGCTCCAATCAATCAATCAATCAATCAAAGAAGAATAAAATAGCATTGAAACGAAGGATTTAGTGGTCCCTCACCTTTGCCGGACCAGAAGCCACCGCAGCGGCAGCAGACGATGAAGCATCAGCCTTCTTCGCTCCCTAACCAAACAAACGCCGCCCAAGAAAACACGAATATTAGGGAAAGCTTATCATCATCGGTGAGAAAAGGGGAAGGGAAATAAGAAGAGGCGCTGCGGAATCGCGTGCCTTGCCCTTCTTCGACTTGGACTTGCCGGCCTTCTTGACCGTGCGACCCATCAGGAGGACGCTAAGGCTGAGGTCTGCAGGCGGTGGTGGTCGGAGTTGGAGGAGACGGAGGCGCAGATTAATTGGCGGCGGCACCGCTCAGCTCCATCCCCAGGGTTTTGAGGAAGGACGGACGGACGGACGGACGGACGGGAGCACCCTCTTAGATGGGCCGGGCCGCCTCCCACGTGGGCTCTGAGGAGGTCGCGGCCCGTCAAGCAAGCCTCGTCAGAAACATGGGCTCCTTCTCGCATTTGTGGTAACCTCGCCCCCCGACATTGCCGGAGTTGCAGTGCTCGCCGTCTGCGCCCCTGCCTGCTGACTGCTGCTGCAACAGGAACGGCGCGGCTATTTCTCCAACCCACCCTTGCTCGCGCAGCACCTTCCCTACCGGCCCCGCCATCTTCCGCCTACCTCCGGCTCCCCCTACAGTGGCGACCACCTCTGAGACTAAATCTCGGTTAGTTCTGAAGATGTTCTTGCTTCTCTCTCTCCCCGCATGGTGGAAATACATTTCGATGCTCAAAATTATTAGCATTTACAAGCTTTAGGTAAGGCCATGTCTGTTTTACCTACTACTTAAGGCAAATTCAGATCGAACACAAAATTGGATGTGCTCGCTTTCTTTGCGGTATCGATATTCCATAGTATTCATTGGTTTCTTTAACAATCGGGAGGTTGTATGATTGGTAGTGAGCGTCATTTCTGAATTATAAGCCCAGAGTGTATCAGAATGATAGAGCTCTGAACTTCCATCAGCTATGTTTCAGACTTCAGAGGTCAGATGTTTGTCATGTGTTGCTGTTAATCATTTGCAGACATTCTTACATGATAGTTGGTGATATACTTCACTAATTGAAACATTGAACGTTGTTAGTTTTCCATAAACTCTCACCTATGCAGTTTTCGTACTTAATTTTGCTGATGTCATGCCTGGACCAGGCTTGGCATCTTCCAGATGAGCTGAAGGACAAGACAATTTTGTAGTTTGCTTTTCGCGGAAAAGGGTGTTGATAGGCATCAGAATGGGTATTGCTAAGCATGGATGATTTGTGCAAGCCTTCATCACTCATGGTATTTTCTTGAGCTTACATGTTTTGCAAAATACTACTTTTCGTCATTCTTGTTTGGTGATTACCATTTCCATCCCACATTGGATGTTTACTTGGGTAATCTTATGCGAAGTTCTTGTTTTTTGCATGATTATCACAACTCCGCCACGGTTGAAATAAGATGAGCAGGTGGCGTTTGGGTTTCACGTATTTACTTACGAGGGACAATGCGATCGATTTATGCTTATGCTTAGTGGGAGAAAGCGAAATGGTTGCAACAGACAAGGGCACATGATGCTGGGTCGTAAAATAGTCCTCTGTATGGAGAAAGGTTTACACAGTATCTCACAGTTCAGGGTATTACTAAGTGCCTTCCTTATTTTTCCCTCAAAAAAAAAGTGCCTTCCTTATTTTAATACTGTACAAGTATAATCACTGGCTCTCTGCACAACACGGGGCTGGATTGAGGATTGGGACTTCTACGCATTTTTTGCAGCTAAAACATGGTTGTAATTTTTCACACCAGCCATTGTTCCACTGCTTTGGGGGTTCCAGCTGCTACTTGAAATCATATTGCTTTGGAACTGCTAGGAATGGCTTGAAGGTTAGCACAAGCCCAATTACTTCGACTAAATTCAAAATCAGGAATATCATTTGATCCCCTGCATGATTGAAGAAATAGATCATATGTTATTTTTTGCAATTGCACATACCCATGGTGATTAATTACACGTGTACTGCGCGGGGCAAGTTTATTTTTTAACAAATAACCGCTGTTGCTGAAATAAGAATGTAACCCATAAATTATCAAACATACCTGGAAAGAAAGCGGCATGTTGGCGCTTTTGGGCCCATGAGAACCTACATTTGAAGTTTCCAAATATGATATGTTATAGATGGTATATGCATATGAACCTAGTATCAAGTAATAATAGTATAAGAGAAGGTGCTGGTAGGCTTACTAGTGACCATATGATTTTAATTTAGCTCTGGGCTTTATTTATTTTTACTAGACACAGCTCTGGCCTTTATCATTCTTAACTAAATTTTAGAGTCTACTATTATGTCCAATCTGCTAAAGGAACTAATTCTTTGAGAAGCTCCATCAAGGTTCAGTAGGGTTCACATGCTATATGACTTTTACATGTTAGCATATTGATTGTGTTCAAAAAAGATTTGGATGGTTCACAACGATACTCACAGAACGCCTGCTCCTGCTGGAGCAATAGCCTTGAAGAGGGACATTGCGGTCGTAGATATGCCATTTGCAGCACCTCTTTGATTTTGTGACTGTCGTTTCAGTAAACTGAGTTAGCTAACTTGAGAAGCAATTGAGCATATAAAAGTCACACAAATTGACTTGATACTTACCACAGCACTGTTTTGCAGAATACAAGTGCCCGTTAAGATAGTCGTCTGATCAAAATTTTCAGAGATGTAAAATGTAATGTTAGAAAGAATGATAATGCTGTATAAAAAAGAAAAAAACTTCTATGTTAGCATTTCTTCTAGTATGGTCAATTCTGTATATATTCTTGATTATAATGTAAACCTTATGGGATTTCTCAATCTGTATAATCCTATTGCTCAAAATCGATACAGCATGTATGGTATTCTGTTTGAAAGAAATAAAGTCATGTTTGAGACGATGAGATGGAATTGTTGACACTTACGGCAAAAGCGCCCTTTATAACGGCAGCGAAATAAATGGCTAGTCCGAGTTTGGTCCCTGATAGGTGTGTCATGAAGGGGTAAGTAGCAAGAAGTGGTATGGATAGAGCCTGAAATGGACATGTGGAATTGTTAAAAAAAAAGGATATGTATAAGAAATGTGAGTTTTGTGGGAAATAGCTCGGTTACTCACAGCTGCAATACGGGATGAAATGATAGACCCGAGATATTTGTGGACGTGTCTATAAACAAATATTTGATACAAAAGAAGACCAGCACCTGACATCAAATGTGAAATTAATATTCAAAGTTTTTTATTATCATAATACATCGCAAATAGTTACTACTAGAATTTAACCAGTATAACAATGAGAGAACAATGTTCCAGAATGGGTAGCATGTAGTATTAGAACTAGTTTTGATTAGAAAGAAGTCTGCATTTTGGGCCTTTAACTATGCCTCAAGTGCATTTTGGTCCTATAACTTTCAAACAGCCCGAAATGAACCCTGAACTTACAAAACAGTTCACTTATGAACCCTTGTCTGGTTTTCGAGCGGTTCCGGTTACCTACATGATTTGTATGCATACGGACTCCTGAAGCCCATATATGGCTCTGTGGCATTGTAGTTCAAAAATAAAAATAAAGATGAAATTAAAAAGGAAAGGCGGCTTGGGCCAATATTTTTTCTCTCTTCTCCTCTCTCTGTCATACTTTCACATCGTTGGTCCCTCACCTCACATTGTTATCGAACTTGCTCTTCATATCTATGTGGCAATCACATCGGTGAACCCGCATCAGCGAAAACCGCATTGAAGTCAGTGATTTATCCAAAAGTGAATAGTTTCGTGAGCTTATGGTTCCCTTTGGATTGTTTGAATGTTTTAGAGCCAAAAGAAATCTACATTTTTTCTTTTGATTATATCTGGTTTCGAAGTGCACCACTACATGGCAGAATGTTCCATAAATATGAACATCCTAGAGGCAATCTTAATATTGGGGTGCACATTTTATAGCATTTGTAGTTGAACTCAACTGCATAAATTAAAATGTTAATATGTAAGAGATGTTTAATAAGATTATATACACTGGTTGTAACCCATACCTGAAACTGCAAGAACTTGGCCAACATCTTTAGATGAAAAGCTTAGTCCGCCATACTTTTTTTCACTTACAGCCCACAAGGAAAATATCTGATACAAAAAATATATATGTTACTTATCTATTCATTAGTTTGTATGTCGTAAGGGGAAGATGAATAGTAGTTACCTCACTGTATGCTGTATCATGAAGGGTGAAAACACAATATGCAATTATAGAAGACATCAATGGCCAGTTCTTGTATAGACTCTTCTCTGAATGTGGAACTTCTCTATGGGGAGCAGCTCTTGAATCACCAACCATTTCTACTTCCCTTTCTAAGTTTTTATGCATATGAAGTGTCTCCTGGTAGCAAAGTTCAGTCACATATTAATGTTATAACCCCAATAAGAAAATTAATCTAGATAACCAAGCAATAACTGATTAGAGACCAGTTGCAAATGGACTAGAGGAGCTCAAGAGTTGACACATTTGTTTGCCCTTTGGCTTGTCTTAATTTAATTTTATTCCCTTTTTCTAAAAAAATATAACCAAATTTATGCCTAATGTAGAAAACATTATATATTTATTACATATTATGGATAATTATTTTCTCCCGCATCATGTTAGACCCCAATTAAGCCCTCTAACTGTTCAGCAGTTCTCAGTTTTTCAGTTTTGGTCCAAAGTACAAATGCTGCCCTTTCAGTAACAGGCAATGCATGGGATTAGGAAATACATGTGTCCTATCTTTTATTGGCTCATATCTGGATAGTAATGGAAGTCGTGATATCAATTCGGGCTGAAAATTTGCCAAACATTATAATTAAGAACTTAAAAGAACCCTCTACAAGTTGGAGACTAGAAATGGATGTCTCAGAGTTAACCAATAAGAGAAATTCCATTAGATTATACTGGCAAAGCTATTAATGGAAAAGGAAAAGCATAGGGCACAGTATTAGTGGGAATGTCACATACCGGTAGCCATATGCAGCTTATTAGAACAGCAAAGGCGATCAGTGAAATAAAAAGGCACGGCAACAAATAGGGAAACCTAAAAAATGCATATAGTGTTAGTTTCATGAAGTTTGGCTTATTAGAATTAAATAAAAGCTTATTTACATTACAGTTTACCTCCCAAAAATCGAGTTCTCAGAAAATAGGTTCGGATATTGCTTTGCAGGCTGACAGGCAAGTAAGAAAACAAGTGTGTTAGAATAGGTAGTACATTTATTAGTATTTGGAAATGGGCATTTCTGAACAAATAGGTACCTGTGCTAAGTAGCCTCCAATGGCTGGACCGACAACAAGACCTATGCCCCAACCCGTGCTTACCTGTACCCAATGTATAAAGTCAACTAGAGCAACTGGTAAGTCGTAATGGCGATGCATGTAAAAGAGTAGAGTTATATGTTCACTTACTACTGATAATCCTAGAGCATGATGTTCAGGTCGACAAACTTCAACTGAATAAGCCTGTAACAGTCAACAATTAGTATGGCATAACTGATGCCATGGTATTAGTTGCTACCATGACATAACTGATGCTAGATTGGGCAAACTTGGATACCTTTATTGGGGCAAGCATGCCATTCATAGAACCAAGGAGCATTCTTGTGGCAATCGCCATCCAATACTTTACACTTAGTCCAAATAGAGTGTTAAAGATGACCCTGAAAGAGGATTGATTACCGAGTTTATAAATTAGCTGCCACGTAAAAGTTAGCATATTTATTTTGTTACAACTAGCAGAAAAGTTTGCTCACACTGAGAACATGGAGAATGCAATGATAGGTTTTCTCCCAATACGATCTGCCACCACACCCCAGAAGAGCGAGGCGAAACATCTGCCGATCATGTACGATGCACCTATATGACATCGACATCAGTATACCATATCTTAATCTGGGTGAGTATATATGTTAGTGTTTGGAAGAAGAACTGCAGGAATGTGCTGGAACTTTGTTACATGTCGTTGATTCAATGAGTTTTGGCATTCTTACCAAGAAGACCAGCATACACACCGATGTCTTGTTCGTTTTTTGCCACATGCATATCTTGTATCTGTTGTCAAGGAAGGTCAAACTGAGTACATAAATAAAACGAGTGATGTTTTATCAGCATTTGCTCGAAGTCTTTAAACCGAGAGCTAAATAAACCCTTGAAAGTGTCGATCTTTAGCGGTTACCAGTTCGTAGAGTTCAATCATTTGCCCCCATCCGAGTTTTATGGTTGATAATGGCATCGAATAAGCCATGCATCATCAGATAGTGCTTGGCTGACTCACCTGAAGGCATGAATCTGTTGTATCTCTTTTGCAGTGTATGTATGTTTATTGTTTTTATGAGGTCTACCATGGAGAGATCCATTGTGGATCAATTGCCAGGTTGGACGTTTTACATCTTAAGAGACGTCAAGATTATGTTTATGGGAATTAATGCTGATGAGTATGCCCCATGTTTCAGAGCTGAGTGAGACCTACTCCCTCCGTTCCTAAATGTAAGTCTTTTTAGAGATTCCATTACAAACTACATACGGGATGTATATAGACATCTTTTGAAGTGTAGATTCACTCATTTTGCTTCGTATGTAGTCTATAGTGGAATATCTAAAAAGACTTATATTTAGTAATGGAGGGAGTATATGAGAGTGAAGTGGTCAGAGCCACGGTGACTAATAATGGTTACAACTATGGGTGGCGGTAAGAGTCGGAAATATTTATACTAATATATTTGTATATGTAGGGTATATCGATTGTAATCTTTCTGGTAAATTTTGTGTGAATAAGTATATTATTGACAGTAAAATTCAGCAAACTGAGGCCACAATTTAGTTAGTTGGGTCAGGCGAAGAACATATGGCGGTACCAATTAAATTAAATCGATCAAAGTGAGATCTTTAACATACCATGAAGTACAAGAATGGGAAGAGTGATGATATTGGTAGAGCTGCAAGTTTAAAGGAGATATTGTCAATATATTGCAAGAAACATGGCCTATCATGACTAATACGTGTGAGCTCGCTATCAGAAAAAAAAAAACATCGTCAAATCCCATCCCTGCTAGTAATGCTATATATCGTACACTGTTTAATGACTACATACAGATCTTTTCTATATCTAGAATGTGAAACAGTTATGATCGTCCTTTTTAAATGCGTTATACAATAACAATATGTACAGTAAAATGTTCCTAAGTTAATAAAATCTTCATAGTATAAAAAAAAACATGTACGGTAAAAGAAATCTACATTGTGAGATGCAGAGTAAAATCAGTACATACTCTCTCCGTCCGAATTTAACCCTAACTGAAATGAGTGAATCTAATACTGTACTTGGAATAGAGCGACTAGGTAGAGCAGTGACGCACGAACCTGAGGCGAGGGTGGTGACCCCGACGTAGAAGAACTCCTTGTAGGGCGTGCCTGTGTTGTTCTCCTTCTTACGCTCCATGGCGCACCCCGGGCACCCCTCGTAGTACACCATCTCCGGCGGCGAGGGCGAGGGCGGCGCCGTCGCGTCGTCATTGTCGTTACCATGCGGGAACGTCCGGTTCCTGGTAGTGTCGCCCATTGCGGCCATGCTGGTGCTAATAAATTAACTTAATTGATTGACTGACTGACTGCACCGCCAGTAGCTTCAGAGTACAAGACACTATAATGTTATATGTTGTGATGATGTTATATAGGTAGCCAAGCCGTGCATGCAGTGCAAGGCGATGTGGTGCAAGTGCAGCAGTGCGTCTCTGTCGCCATGGGCAGCATAAAGCTTGCTGCTTTTGGGTGAGATGAGATTTGTTCTCAGCGCGCTGCCTGTCAGTCTTGCTAGGTTGACACGATGGATCGAATGGTCAAGAAAGTAACAGAACAAAAGTGCACTTGCAATATTCTATGTAGTAGGCTAGTAGCATGAAGAACCTCACCGTTCATGTGATGTCATAAGATTGTTGGTGCGGATATGGTTATCCCTGTAGTTTGTGGATTGTCGATCTGATCACTTTGGGGTTTTTTTCTCGTCTACGCATAGCTTTGGTCTTATATGACTTTGCTATTTGCGGACGTGTTTTTGTGCGTGTGTGTTCCTTTTGATTGTGTCATCTTACCTATGCAGAGGTAGAGTGTGTGCTCATTGTGTTTGTATCTCCTTCATGCTTCATTTTGAGCCAATAAAATTTCATCCTTTGTCGAAAGAACTGTGTAGTAGCATGAACTAGTGAAAAGAGAGAGCCAGGGAAAGGGCAAATCTCGAATTGAGCGATATCTATCTATGTGCATTACTTGTGGTGTCACATTTTGTTTCGACAGTCATTACTGATGTCACTTTGGTGTGCTAGTTTTACTTTAATCATGATGATAACTAACCATTCGCTTCTTTTAATCCTTCGCTTTCAACCAGGTTAATCTAGCTAGGAACTCCTTGAAAGTAACAGCTCCCTATGTATACCCGGTAGGACCGGCGAAAAAGGTTGCACGGAGGAGGCATGTTGTTTGGCTGGAGCTGGAGGTAGGAGGATATCCGTTTCCTCGTGCGGGCGATTCGTTTCATCTTTCCTGGCTCTGGCTGCACCGGCACCTGCACGTACGAGGAGCTAGGTTAGCCGCATGTATGAGGAGTTTGTTTGGTTCGCAGCTCTGATTAGGAACCTCAACTTTATTGGATGTCCCCGAAGGGACAACCTCAACTTTGTTTATGATTAACCTACTAGGCCTTGAAGACAATTCAGACAATTTACAAAATAGCCCATTTTTAACTGTCTGAAATGACTTACAAAAATGAACGGAAGGAGTATTTGTTTTCTTAAACAGAAGTAGAACAATTGTTCTATGGTATTTTTATTAATCATAAATTATTTACATAGTACAAATTAAAGTACATGTGTGTATTACACCTCTCTAACCAATTCCTGCTCTGGCCTTCATCTTTATTTAAAGATGAAGGGATGTTTCCTCACAGCAGCTACTGCAGAGTTCACATTATAACAAGCGTCAAAACAAAAAAAGAGTTGACATTATAACTGGGTAGATGGAAATTTTTTGCATCCGAAGAAGATCCCTGACATTCACTCTATCATGAAGCATCAGCCATACAAATATTTTGTATCTTAGCATTGCAGCACTTTCTCAAATTCTTCTGAAAGTTGGGGGAGCATGCTCCTGCTTTTGCAAATGATGATACATCCTTATAGAGGAATAATCTGCATTCTGCCAAGGATAACACCATCTGTCTAAAGAATTTAGATGTGTATTCTGCAATGATTAATCTCTTTGATTGGACGGACGCCAGTTCTATATGTAGTCAGATCTCGTTAACTGCCTTCGTTGACCACCCTCCACGCCTTCATTTAGCATGACAATTAGCGATCCATTTGGCCAAGAGTGCTCTTCCGGTACTGGTAGCATACACGTACCAAGCCCAACGACAAAGTGCATGCATCACTTACATATGTACTACTATAGGTCGCAATTAGTTTTTTTTTTTGGACATATAGGCGACATTCGTACGTGGAGCTGGCACTAATCACATGCATGGACCAGATTTAAGCCAGTGTTTTTCGTTTCTTTTAGCGAGAATAGGAGGTCGCTAGGACAGATGGGCGGCGAAACGTGCGTGCCGTCGTGGCCAACCAATTGAGGTACGTCAGCGCTGATGCATAGGGTCAGAAACAGACAGAGGTCAAATCAAATTAGTTTGACTTGAGGCGCCGTTTCATTGCATGCATGTTTTTGTTTTCTCATACTCCCGAGGCAGCGTGAATACTGCCACCCCAAACCATATGCATCTACGGTCTCCGATCAGTATATACATAATACTATACACATAGCGTAGTAGAGTACGTACTTACTAGTGCACGCTAGGCTTTTCCGGGGGCCCTCGTGCTGGTGCGTGTATCGCTGGCCGGCCGGCCGGCAAGTGTAGCGTTTCTGCTCCGGTGCTCCCCCCCGGGGCTGAACGCGAGGTGGAAAAACACATCGACGGTCAGGATGAACCAAAAACGGTTCATAACGAGGGGCCCGATCGTCTTTGTTGCCCCCGCGTATAGCCGTCGAGGAGCCCTAGAAGGCCCGTACGGGCCCGGTTAGATCGTATGCCTGGCCGTATGCTCGTATTCGTATACGGCGGCGTTTCGTGCACGCCTGCAGCCGCCCGCGCGTGGGGCAGCACGTGTCACGAGGGGTTGCCAAAACTGTCCCATCATATAAATGTGGACGGCAACCACCTCCGGCCGCATCGCCCACCATTTACCCCCGCCGCATCGTCTCCCTATCTCCACTCCCCACTCCCCACGAGCCCCACTCCCTCTCCTCTCCAACCTCCTCGTCTCCCTCACCGCATCCTCTCCATCGCCATGGCGGACGCAGGAGGTGAGCGCCCGGATTGGGGCGCAGATCTGGTGGAGAAGGCGCGGCAGGTCGCTGCGGGCACCTTTGTGAGGGGACGTGCCGGCGTCCAGCGCGGTGCTCCCTCCGCTGCAGATCTGGAGAAGGCGGGGGCGGGATGCAGCGGCGCAGTCCAGCCAGATGCGCCCGCTCTGGCGATCTCCGGCGAGGCACAGAAGGTGGAGGCGGGCTCTGGCGAGGCGCAGAAGGTGGAGGCGGGCTCCGGCGAGGCGCACGAGGTGGAGAAGGTGGATAAGGTGGAGGCCAGCTCTGGCGAGGAGCAGGCGGAGCAGAAGGTATGTGCTTATCACTTTAATGTGGTAGTTTTTAGATTGTAGGGTTTGTGGTCAGAAGGTTCTTTGGTTAGATTTGTTAGATGTGGGGTTTTCTCTGCATTAGGGTTTTTGTGTATTTGATTCGTGCAAGAATGGTGGACCTCATATGATTATTAGATTAGGTTAGAAGTAGCCGGATTGAGGGATGGGGATTTTTCAGATGCTTATGAGATTAGTAGTGGAATTTGTGCAATTCTGTAGGTGTTTGGCTTGAGGATTAGACGATGGATTAGTCAAATATATATTTCTCTATTGATGATTAATTAAATCGATGCTTAGTTCTAGGGATTATGCCTGTCATAGTTGCAATTCTTAGATACTTCATTGATGCATGTTGTCATAGTTGCAGTTCTTTGATGCTTGATTGATGCCTGTCAGGCAGAGGCTATGAGATGGGTTGTGCATGGCCTTGTGTTTTTGGAAATTGTCTACCTGAGGTGATTAGATGGTGCATTAGTTTGGTTGTAAATATAGTGAAGGATGTGCTCATGTAATTGGTGTTGTCATGTTAATCAAAAAGAGCTTCTCAATGGATGGATTTTGTTTGTGTTGGAATGGGGCTTCTGAAGGAGAGGGGAAGGGGCAGTCTATGCTTATTTAGTTTGGGTTAGCAGTGGAATTTTGCAATTGCTTCAGAGATATTTACAGCATTGAACATCCTCTCCAATGCCGTTGATTCAGAGATAAAAGCATGTTGGGGTTTTTTCAGATGCTTATTAGATTAGTCCTGGAACTTTTGCTTGTTAGATTTTAATTAGTATGAGGTTGAATACCTTATTTAAGGGGGAATTTAAGGTCAGATAGACCATATATGATTATTAGATCTGTAGTTCAATGCTGTAGACATATATGATTATTTGATTTGATCTGTGATTCAATGATATTGGATGGAAACATATTTGATTTGGAATGCACTAATTATGATGTGGCAATGAATTGATTTAGATGATACAAGATACATCTATAGTATAATTTGTTGTTGTTTAGGTAAGTAATGAAATTTTAGTTGTTTGTTGAAGATGTATGCATTTATAGTTGAAGTTGTACCTAATTAACTACTGCATTATGTTAATATGTGTAGGAGCTTTGCTGTATTATCCCAAAAAATGCTTAGGTACATCTGAATTATTCTTTTGTGTAGGTTTCCTGTAATTAGAAAGTTTTCCAGAATATGTATTTATATTAGCTATGTTGTCCAATATAGATTGGAGCTTTCCATCATTATGCAAAAACAAATTGTTTAGGTAGCTTTATTTGTTTATCTGTAGGTTTCATATTAAAATATTTAGCATTGGAAAATATATTGACAATATTGGTCACTTGCAACATACCAATGTGGTTCACATTCACAATTTTGTTTGTAATGACATTATTTGAACTGCAATTCAATTCCTTGTAAATGACTTGCTTGGTTGACAATATAGTAGAAGGAGGATCTTGTTGGCAACAAGAGGAAGTGGGACGCATCTGGGTACGACCCTTATGACAGTGATGAGGATGAGCCGTACGAGGTAAGGCCTAGTTGAAATGTTATTTGTGCATTGAGTTAGTGTTAGATGTTTATAGTATTTGAATGCATAATGTATTAATGTTAGTCATTAATGTGTGCAGTATGAATCTGGAGATGATGTGGTCCAGGGGAACGCCAAGTCCTTTGAAGAGAAGGAGGAGTTGAAGATCAGGGCCCAAGGACCTGCTAAGTACTACAACTGGAGGTCTGACAAGTACCGGTGCCCCTACTGCAGCAGGCCCAAGCCCAGGTCTGGGTTGCTGGAGCATCTGATGGAGCATTGTCGGGCTACATCCATCAGCAGTCATGACTACAAGATCAGGGCTCAGCATTCTGCCCTCCACAAGGTCCTGAAACCCT